AAAAAAAACGTCCTGCTCACTTAACTCAGCTACCTCTACAACGGACTAGCTAACTGTTCCCACAAATTTCTACAACTCCACCGCTGTGTAGCCACCAACCGGGGGCACCTTACACTTGCAGGAGAACTCTATAAAATGAACTGCCAGAAAAAGAATTGAATCTTCACCATCCATAGAAAACCACTTTTATAAATGATCATATCTTGCGTTCAGATGAAATGCAACGACGAGGGCAGCACACAAACACGATAAGACTGTATGTTAGTGATAAACGGTATGGCTTCCTAAAGCGAGCTCATATATATAAACATGTGTATTTATATATACAAATATCATAAACACGTATATACAACTCTTCGATCACAGAATGACAAATTGGACTGTAAATTAACCAGCTAATCAAATAACTCAAAGCAGGTGAATATGTGCAATACTAAAAAAACTAACAGTAAAATTTCTACTGCAGTTAGCAAAGTAATACAGACACAAGTTTTGACGTACCTTGCAAAGTAATTTGATACGTTTTGAAACGTACATAACTTTCACATAAAAATTTAAATTACCACAAAAACAGCCTCACAGCAGGTGTAATACATAACGACAATGTATAACACGCATCAACAAAAAAAGAAGACACATTTACAAGTATTAAAGAACGGTTTATGACCCTACTGCTTGCCTTTTAACCATCAGTCAAAAAAAAAAACTAAAAACAAAAATAATACTTAGAATACTTAGAACTCAGGATGAATACCAAGAAATTTACAGATGGAATTAGCCAGTAAGGGGTCCGACTTGCGAAGAGCACTTCGAACACCTTTGTCTTGGAATAAAAACTGTAACATCTTGGATTCGTAATTTCTACACCCGAATTCCGGCCGGCTTATTCTTATCTTAAAAGAGATAGAAAATAAAAATTCAATACAAACCTTAAGTCAAAGAAAACAACACTCTCGAAAACCACATAGTACCAAAGTGTACTGAAAATGCAAAGAGCTTCTAAAACGTTTAGTTATCAGTTAAGCACCAGAAGCTTCAGTAATTACGCTAGGAGTAATTATATTAAATACCTTTTCAGCTGATTCAAGGGACACAACAACCCAACTATAAAGATATGGTGCTTGTCGTCTTCTTTCGATTACAGCGACTACACTTTCATCAGTCCTTAGAAAAGCCTTTTGCAAGATGCTTTCATCACATAGCAGCTCGCCGAACCACTCAGCATATATAACCCTTTTATTACCATTTTCAAAAAACTGAGCAGGCACTTCAATCTAAAATGAAAGAAATTTAACTGGAACCTATTCATCTTGTAAAAACTTTATATTTTAGTAGAAAACTGCTAACCCTGAGCGAGTTGCCTCCTGTTATTGAACGATAAAAAGGACTCTCTAGACGCGCATACGACGCCGTGTAAGTACACGTACCAGATGAGTCAATGGGACTGTAAATAAAGACCCGAGTTTCAATTAAAAAACCTTAAAATTACAAGAAACTGGTTACCGCGTTATAAAAGAGATCCAATCTCCAACTCGAAAAGGCGTGCCGTCAAGGAGCATCCCGTCACCGTAATCTGCTGACCATACAAATCCTAAATGCCCTCTGCGTTCAACAATCACACCAGCACTTGGCTCACCTATCGGGACCTAAATAATGTTGAATAATAATTACGGACTGCATTCATATCTTAATTTTATATTTCCTGAATTTATCTTTCTTTTT